TTTCCAATCATGTCGACGAAGTTGTCGGTCCACACGGTGCAGATGAAAGATTTGTACTAAGTCATCACTATGTTTTTGGCCACCATGGTGTAGTGGTTACTTGCCGCTTTCAATTCAAAGTTGCGCATGCAATATCGCTCTTCTCACTGTATCTTCGGAAACACGCCAGTTTGCATATTTCCAAGTTGGTGCAACTTTCACAAAGTCTAATCATATTATACGGTTTCAATGCAGATACTTCACCTCAAGCAATGTGTAGACTTTGAATTCTCTCCCGTTGTCTCAGCTGAAGTTAATAAGCTTGTTATTTTGCATGAACGCTACGAATTTAACACCACACCATTACATTCTTCGCTTTTACAGTCTATTGTTTCGGAGAGATCCAAGTGCCAAGATAGTACTCACTGAGCGATCTCCAGTTGCCGCCTGTCTTAGTGTGCGCGAGGGGGTTTCCAAGTTACGGGAAAGCCAACACGGTTTTGTAATTCCGGTGGATGAGATAATGACGTGTTGAAAATCTCCCTTTCTAACTGCATGCTCCGTTAAACGAGCTCGCTGTTCCCATCCTTCGTATGGCACTCAGTTTGCTTTACTTCATCGATGTGTGAGATCCTGCCTACTCTGTGAGTCGTTCCTCAGTGAAAAAGTTGAAAGAGTCTCTGGTTACCCGCTAATCTCAAGCGGCCTGATAAAAAGTCATAATACGTAAACCTCTAGAGTGTGCAAGGAGCTTATCCTGTACTAGGGATATGTCATTACTACACTTCTTATGATGCACAGGCATGAGTGGGATAAGTATTCTATGGCGTCTGCGCTGTCTAAACGTTCTTAGGTACACGATTTTTGCAGGGCTGGGCTTGGTGCAACTGTTTCTTTCCACTAGGTACGTATGTTTGCTTCATCCCAAGGGAACTCTTCGGGTGATTTTTCTGATGAAAACATTTTCATTATGGTGTTCTGATCCAGGAAGATTCCATATTTAATGTGAAATCTTCTTGCATTGACACAAGACCAGATAGTGGTTAGTCGGCTATGGTACAGGACAGTATATCTAACTACAAAGAAGTTAGAACGAATAGCTGTTCCGGCTCTTCGTGCAATCAGTTTAGAAGTTTTGTTGAGAAATCTTCGAGGGAAGCTATGTTACGATTCCAATGTGGACCGTCGGAAGTATGTTTTTTGTTTTACCAAACAGTGAATGGGCATCAAGCTGTGTGTTGATGCCCTAAACAAATCAACAGTACTTCTATCTTTCAGTGCTGGTTTTGTTTTGGTACACCGAGGCACTAGGCCGTAACGAGTCGAATCACTCACCTATTTCTGTGGGACGAGTGAACATCCGGTATCTTCATAGCTGTCTGGCTGGGCTAAGTTTGTGTTAGCACCAGAATCTACCAAATCCCTAGTTAATCCTTAGCGAACTTACTCATCCCACACTGACATAATTTACTCAAGCTTGTTGCAACCTTGTTGCAAACTGCTGTTGACGTATGGGCCAACATCGGCGACAGTATGACGTGGCTGAAAGGAGCAAATGTTAATGTGACCTACCAAATTCTCTTAGGCCTAAGACCTTGACTCCACCTCTTCTATGAAGCAAAAGGATGGCGGTTATTAAAAGGTATTATGGAACAATGGAACAATGGTTTATTACGGGTAAAAAAGCGTTGCTTAACAAGTCCCGTAGGATGGAAAATTATTTTGAAAATCAATTGCATGATAAAGGGAAAAGCGTTGTGGTGGACTCACCATAGACTTATGCGGAATAGCGGAGAAGTTCGCGGATGAAACATTTGAAACTATAAATCCATTGATTAGGCGTTTGGCAAGAAACCGTTTGATTGCGTTTTGTAGCTCCTGGCTAACAAGTCATAAAATGAAATGTAAGTGAGACAACGCATCGTCAACACGTTTTTTAAATATTGCCAGATTGGGAGCAGAGACGACATAATTAGGGAGGGCGTTCCAAGGCTGGCACAGGCGGAGAGAAAAGAAATTTTTGCGGCATTCAAGCCGACTATACTGAATTGTCAGTTTCAGAGGGTGACCTCTTAGTTTAGTGTTGTGGTTCAAATCCAGAAGCGGACGGCAAATGTGGTTTGGGTTCTTCAGAATCTGGTAAACCATTATGAGATCCCCCCGCAAAAGCCGATATCGACTGCTGTACATTCTTAGAGATTTCAGTCTAAGCTGATAGGGGAGATGAAAGAGGCCCCTGACATTCTTGGTTGCCCGTCGTTGAGGAGTCTCGAGAGCAACGAGATCCTGTTTCTGCCACGGCTGCCACACCTGAATAGCATATTCCACGTGAGGTCGCACGTAGGCGTTAAGCATTTGGGGAAAGATTGAGGGTTCAAACCGACCGAAGGCTCTGCGAAGAAGGCCGAAGTGTTGATTGCCGGTTCTCGTCGCCTTCTCTGCTTGTTTTGAACACCCGAGATCTTCCTGCACCAATACACCCAGGTCACGCTCTTGAGAAACGTTCGCCAAAATGTGGTCTCCAATCTTGTAAGCGCTCACCGGCTGGTGACGCAGAGGCATCACTTTGCACTTAGCTATGTTCAATTGAAGCTTATTCCTCTTTGACCATTCGTAAATGCGATCTAAGTCATGTTGGAGCAGATCCTGATCGGACTTGTTACCAATCGCCCGCCATATCTTGACATCATCGGCGAAAAGCAGGAACTTTGAGGAGATGACTCTTGCCAGGTCGTTGATAAACACAAGGAATAAACGCGGTCCCAGCACTGAGCCTTGCGGGACACCACATTCCACCTCAATTGGGTTAGACAGTGATCCCCTAACACGTACTTGAAGCTTTCGTTGGTAAAGGAAGTTACCAATCCAACCAAGTACAGGATCACCGGTTCCGTAACTCTGTAGTCTTTGAAGTAGGATGCGGTGATCAAGGCGGTCGAAAGCTTTGGGGAAGTCCAGATAGATGACGTCGACTCCGACCCCATCATCGGCCACTTCAGTCCAACTACCTCGTGCAATAAGTAGGTTGGTAGTGCATGACCGGTGTTGACGGAAGCCATGCTGTTCCGGTACCAAGATGTTGCATTTTTCTAGGTAGTCCATTAAAGTGTCAGCGACGACTGCTTCCATCACCTTCGCGAGCACAGGGAGGAGAGTCACTGGACGATAGTTTGCAGGATCGGAACGGCTACCGCCTTTAAAAATAGGGGTGATAATGCCACACTCCCACATAGTGGGGACTTGTTGTTCATCAAAGCACCTTTGAAAGAACTGTGACAGTGGTTCAGCTAGCTTGGTGGCCACAGCCTTCAGTGCCTTCGGGCGGATGTTGTCTGCTCCCGGCGAACTATGCTCACGCAGTGAGAGTAACTTCCTTAGCACAATTGATGGGTTGAAAATAACTTTTGTAAACAAAGGTGTCGGTAATGTGCTTGATATTATGGGACAGGTAGATGTTGCGAGTTCGAAGATTGGGGCGTATTGAAGCCGCAGGGCATTAGCTGCTTCTTCGGCGCTTTGTACTCTACGGCCTGTCGTGAATAGTGGGGAGATTCCATGCTTCACTTTACGAAGCTTATTGACATGCCTATATGGCAGTTTGTTGTTTGCCATGAATTTTTTGGCTAGGCTCTGTTGATAAGTTACTTTGTCCTCACAGACAAGTGCAGTGCAATGGTTGCGATGGGTCAGGAAATTGTCCCAAATCTTTGAGTCGGGGTTAATCTTGTAGGCACGCCATGCTGTATCCCTTATCGCCAGGCATTTTCGAGTCCTACTCCTTATAATTGAAGGCATTTTTTCGGGACGAAGGGGTTTGGTCTCTGATGCTCTCTTGACGACGTCGCTGAGTTTATTAACGAACTCTGCCCAAACGTTGTCAAGGGGACTTTTGTTTGAGAATTCCCAAGCAGTTGCGTCGGCGAGTTCTTTCAATACGTGGTAGCGTGTGATTGTATGAGTTAGTTCCGAGTGTTCAGAAGGATACTCTGCATAACACACATAGTCAAAAGTTATTACTACATGGTCACTGAGCCCTAATGGACTATCCATCAATAACTTGTCAACCATGAGCTCTTCATTCGTGAGCACAAGGTCCAGTATGGACGGTTTGTTTGCTGCCCTGAATCTAGTGGGCGTGGTGACATGATTGTACAAGGGAATATTAGCGATCAGTTCATGCAAGTCTGCTTTGAACTGCTCACTGGGCGATGCCGAAACCTCCAGTTTGTGTAGATTGAAGTCCCCGGAGATGAGAATGTGGCTATACCTAGTGCGTGTTACTCTGTTGAGGCCACGGATCAAACAGGAATCCATTTCCGGAGTGGACGTTGGAGGGCGGTAAACGACAGCTACTAGACACGTGTCGTTGTGTCTCAGTCGGAGACGGCACCAGAGTGAGTCAGTAACGTGTGCTTCCAGATCGTCAACGGTTGTACATTGTAGATTGCTGCGGTAGTAGAGTAGGACCCCACCTCCTCTGCTGGGGCGGTCGTTCCGGATGAGTGACATTCCGGCTATCTCAACCTCAGCATCAGTCACCTCTTGGTGTAACCAAGTTTCGGTAATAGAAATTAGGTCCCACACATTCGCAACCTGACGTGGTCGAAGTTCGGTAATTTTACTGAGGAGCCCTTGGGCGTTAGTGTACATACATGAAAGTTTCGTAGATTTAAGCAATTTTTCGGAGGTTCTGCAACTCATATGTGAAGTTTCGCCGACCAGTGAATAGCCGGCGACTAATCGTTTTTTCGATGTGTGCTTGGTGAAGGGTTTAACATTTTATTCATCATCCGTGTAGTTAGTCCCGTATCTGATCTGCGACGTACAGTGTAAGGTGTCTGGTCACTATCATCTTCTACAGTTTGTGGAACGAATGGGCCATTGGATGCAATTTATTTGCGCTTCGTTGCGTTCACTTCACACACCCATGACCTATCCTCAATTGATGTCTCACCTTTCATCTTGGTCCACCTGCGTTCAAATCATAAGCCCCCAATTCCCCATTTCTGTCTACCTTCCAGGTTGCGACCAGCGCGGACGCACGCTTCTCCACTTGGCAGTAATTCACCATCGGCAACAAGTAGCTTTACTGCTGGCTGACCTCTGTCCCGAACTGGCACAACTCCGTGACTGCTTTGGTCGCACTCCAATGCACTATGCGGCATGTTTGAACGATGACCGGTTCTTGTTTCGCAAACTGAGTGCCCAACTAGGCGGTGTGGACAAACAAATGACAGATTATGTACGTGTCTCACCGGTGTCAGTAGTTGCATTGCGTACTCGTCACTTGCATGGTTTGCTATCATCCATACATTTGGCCATTCCAAATCTCCACGCTCAGCAATCGTGTCTTGTTTTACTACGGCTACTACTGCTATCAGCACTACTACTACTAGCGCTGTTACTGCTGCTACTATTACTACTACTGTTAATACTGCTACTACTACTACCATTACTACTATTACTACCACAACTCTTAATGATAATAATAATAATAGGTATGTTTCTCCTGCTACGAAAAACTGGGTCTGTAGCGGCACAGATCAGTTTGTATAAAAAAGTATCCATGCTTTTGCATAGGCGATATGCATAAGTGAAACAATGGGTTATGCATTTCATGTAATTACATTCTGGTGGATGATTAATGCAAAAGCTTAGTTTTGAAAATTGGTGTTTAGACGTTTTTGGACCACTTTTGGAATATCTCATCGAGGAAGTTTCCCAAGTAAAGATAGTAAACATGGTGTTTAGATTAAAGTACTTGGAGAGTCTGCTTCTAAATGCTATCACATTATCACATGATCTGAGTGAGACTGGTAGTTTATTCACAGATAGCTATATCTGACCAGGAAAATTAGAGTGAATGTTCGTTTTAGCCATTGGTATCTTCAGTGTAAACTATTTTTTGCAAAGCCCTCGAGTTGACCTATGTTGTAATTCGAGCGTAGGCAGGTCGGAATAGGTCTTTCTGCGTTGCACGTTGAAAAACGGTAACAGGTTGTACTTCAATCGTCGAATCCAAGATGTTTCGAGTTGAAATCCGTTGCAAGGTTCCCGACTACTCACAGCAGAGTGCTTGCCAATCAGCTGTGCAATAAATGATCTTTGCAGGTTCTCCACAACAATCCTGTCAGTCTTTCTCACGTTGCCGTATATTGCGCTCTAGTATTCGAGGATGGGGTAGGTGATTAGCTCAAAAATCTTGACTGTTGCTTAGGTTTTGTGAATTTTGTCGGATATATAGAACATAGATTGTCTGGCACGGGCTACTTAGTATTGGACCAGCTCGGAGAAATTGAAGGTAGACGAGTACCTAATACCACGTAAACATATGTGTAGGGACTTGCTCATTGTTTAGTGTGCTAGATCCTTCGGGGATAGAGCAGCCGTAAGACAGGATGCTTGATTTCTTAGCATGTGACACCGTGGCCCAAGGGGATGTAAGCCATCTTGAATGAGCGGTAGCGTTCCGTGAGGTTCGTCACGCCGAAACTTATGGACGATCTCAATAACGTCAGCAAGTAAAATTGGCTACTCATGTTTTACTTATGTGGTGATGTACCGTCTATTACTGAATATAACTCCGGTCACGTGAACGACTATTTGATTTGAAACCTGGCTACGAAGAATCTCAATTAATTAGATCAAAATCCCCTACTCATGAATACATCGAAATAGCTCCTTCCATAGATAAGTCGACAGTACGACTTTGCAACAGCAAATTTGTCCAACTTCATAAGTCTCTGTATTAGGGGAGCCCTAAAATTCGGAAAAATAGAAACGAAATTTGTATAAAGTAGAAGTCACGATTAAAATTCACGCACAATAATGTGCCTCGATTGGAAATCTAGCCCCGGTCCACGAATTTCCGGTCCGCTGCTCTACCACTGAGCTACCGAGGGCTGACGATTAGGTGCACAAATTTTAATACATGACTTCTGCTTGGTGCGCGACGTATTGCCAATGAGCTCACAGTACGTGCCCTGGTGTTGCAGATTGGCTCACTCACCCGTCAAAAAAATACGAAATTGTTTCTCCACGTTTTTGGCGTCATCACTACTTGCTCTCACTTGAGTTAGCTGTACCGAAACTTGCTCCACCATTGGTCAGTTGTGGTGACCATGATGTGTTAAAATCGCGCTTACTGTGGCCTGGCACCGTCAGAACAGACTTTCCCCACACTTGATGGCCTATTGACCAGATGTTGTCACATGAAACAGGCAAGACAGCAGACAAGATAGTGTAAGGTGGGAGGTCGGCTAGGGTTGGTCAATTTTATCCGGGCTGCACTGTTCATCGATCAGACTCTCCAATCGATGGTGTTGGTCACACATGGGCACACACATGCACACAAAATAACACTTTTTGTCCGTCTGATGTGAGGACAAGGATAACTAAGTCACCGTCTGTAGATGAAGTGAACAGCGCCCACACAGAGATCAAGGCAACGGTAGCGGAAGTGCTTGAAATAGCGTCCTCCGCTTACAGTCCGGGTTGAATTAGCCTGATCGCACTGGCCTCGACCGTTCTTAGTAGACGTTTTCTAAGTCCTTTTGTGTAGCGGTTTGACACGATGTTCAATCCTATATCCATTTACTTGCACCTGTGACGTAGGATACCTAGGATACACGACCAGACACTTGGTGAAACGGATTGCAGAATATTGCCCAGCAGCATTGTGAAAACACATGGTTAGAAGCAGCAATAGCTCAATTTTGGAACATGTATTCCAAACCGGGCATCAAGTTGTGACCAAGGAAGCCTTCAAAGTGTTCGACATCTTGTCAAACTGCTACACAAAAGGACTTAGGAAACGCCCACTAAGAACGGTCGAGGCCATTGCGATCAGGCTAATGCAATCTGAACAGTGCAAGCAGAGGAGACTATTGAAAGCCATTCTGCTACCATAGCCCTGATCTCAGTGTGGGCACCGTTCACTTCATCTACAGTGACACACCTGTCCTTGTCCTCCCATCGAGCGGACGAAACGTCAGGTTTTGTGTGCATATGTGTATGAATGTGACCATCCCCATCTATTGGAGAGTCTGATCGATGAACAATGCAGTCCGTGTGAAACTCGCAATTAGCGTACGCAATGTGGCCAGTTAATAGAAGATTATGCAGATTATGCAGTCAGTGTGGAGCGGACTACGGTCCAGCCACCGCCTTGTGTGCGCTTGATTCCCAAGTACAGTGTGCTTGTGTTTGCCTGTGAAGGAGTGTGGGCCGGCTCCGTTGATGAAACGCGACTCCCATCCACATGCCTCCCGGTCTTATTCCTTCGGGTTTACACTGGATATGGGGTGTGTGGTTGGAGCTGTGGGTGGTGCAGCGCAAGCCATCCATGGTCCCTCTGTAGGCGCAGGCGTCCTGTGGCTTGCCACAGTGACAGGCAAATCCGAAACCGGATGCCGCCAACCATGCAGGTAGGCAGAACAAACGAAATAAAGTGGTTTAAACAATTTGAAAATTCCCATTTAGAGTCAAAAGAACAAGAGACGATAGGTGAAGAATTGCTTTCGATGATTCTCTTCAGACCATCACAATCATATTTAAGGGTAAAATAATGAACTGAAATCGACTCATTGGCTCAAATCACATAGTTACTTAACGGTTCAGTGAGGGAGGCTAAAAGTTGACCTTTGACCTGACAGGTCGATTGCATGGTACCGAGCTTGATCTGTGGCAATCGACCTCAGCATCGTTCATTCTACGTGACCAGGGAAGCTGTAAGGCATGGAGCAACTTCTTTTGCGAGCATAATGAAGGCTGAAACAACCGAATGCAACTCGATTCAGATGTCGTGAACGTACGGAGGCGCAAACCTCTTGGTTGAGGCTGGGAGACCCTGTAAATTTTCCTGAAGGCACGTTTTAGATCAACTTGGTGCCCCGTCTCGACAATGTGGACCAAAACGGCGCTACTAATGACCCCAGTTCCTCCTTGGCGCAACCAGTGCGCGCAGTGCTCCTTCACGCGTTTGAACAAGTGCCGTGCCGTTCGACTAATATAAGTAACGTCACAAGCGCACTTGAACTGATAAGTAACCATAGATGAGGTCAGCAATGGCAGCATATCCTTATTGCTTGAACAAACAAGTGGTTCAGTCGAAAATGTATACTTTAACCTGGCTGCTGGGAATGTCGACTTGACCAAACGAATGAGTTAACGCCTACGTCTAATATGGATCTCGAACGCTTTAAGTGCTTCTTGGCACCATGTTGCTATCAATATCGTAAACATCGTGTCCATAATCGTGGTCCATTAACAAGAAAGCACCCAGACGCGCTGAAGGAGCTTAAACGCAATGAAGAGGTCATTCTGTGCAAACCGGACAAGGGCGCCGGGATTGTGTTATTAGACAGAAAATACTATATTGATAAACACAACCATTCTGAGCAATAAGACGAAGTTTTCCTACGACAAAAGGGAAGCTGACCAAACGGAACAGACAGAGAGACAGATCACTAAAAGCCTCCAACAGCTTCGGGCCAAGGGGTACATAACCGATGCCTTGTATGACAGTCTTTGACCTTGTGGCACAAACGTTCCGAGACTATACGGCTTGCCAAAAATCCATAAGACCGACATCCCGCTTCGTCCTATTCTATCAGTAGTTAACTCCCCCTACCACGCAGTTGCCCAATGGCTTGTGGAAATTCTTGAGCCGGTGAGATAACAACTTGTAACTTACAGCCTGCGTGACAGTTTCCAGTTTGTCGAGAGCATCAAGGATGCCAAAATTAATGAGAAAGTGATGCCATCCTTTGATGTTGTCTCGCTTTTCACTAACGTCCCGCTGACCGAAACCATCGATTACATTTGCGAGCAGATAACAAAGTTGAAAATTAAGATTTTTATACCTATGCTTGAGTTGAACAACTTATTGCTGCGGTGCACATGGAAGGTGTAACTTCTTTTTAATGGTAAATTTTACCGGCAAAAGGATGGCGTAGCCATGGGATCCCCCCTCGGTCCGTTGTTCGCAGATATATTCATGACCAAATTGGAGCGAACGAAATTGCAAACGGAGATAAAATCTTTTGACTACTACCATCATTATATGGATGATATATTTATAGTGGCGGATAAGTGCATAAATCTGGGTGGGCTTCTCGATCGGTTTAACCCGGCTCACGCAGCACTGCAATTTACCTACGAGGCAGAAACTTGCGTCCGGCTTCCGTATCTTGATGTCTTGTTTAACTAGGAGGCCAGACGGCTCCATCCAGCGGAAAGTCT